CATTTACATCCCATTCTCAACCAACACACCAGACCAATCATTCTGGAACCAAACATCACTTGACAATTTTACCACCAAGTCAGCCTATTTGCTCCAGCTCCAGATCACTAACCAACTTCCATCGAACACCCCTGCAAATAGCTCTTGGATTTGGCAATTCAAGTATTTAAATAAGTTAATATTTTTCTTGTGGCTACTTGTACACCATAAAATCCCTACTAGGGATTTTTTGTACAAAAAAAATATACTTCAATCAAACTTTTGCCAATTCTGCCTAGACATAGTGGAGGACATAAACCACATCTTCTTTACGTGCAAACATTCCTACTACTTTTGGACCTTATTCAATTTATCCATTCCTCAAGCACAAAACCTTGCCAATTGGCTGAAGGATAGGTGCAACAAAGACACCAACATTCCCACACCAAATGCCTCCTTTAAAACTCCCCTACTCCACCCTATTGCCTTTCATCCTCTGGAACATATGGATTAATAGGAACTCTAACCTCTTCAACTATACTTCAACTACAACATGCCACAGAACATTATACTGCAAGTAGCAGAATTCATATCACTCACTCCGACTACAATAACCTCAAACCCCAGACAACAAGTACCAATAAAGTGGTTACCACCACCTACGAGCCTTTACAAGCTAAACATTGATGGTGCTTATGATCCAAATAGCCAAACCAGTAGTACTGGGGGACTCATAAGAGACCACAATGGTTCACGGGTCGTGGGTTTTGCATAGAAGGCGACTGCAATATCCGCCCTTCATGTTGAGTTGCTTGCACTACTAGTGGGATTGGAATTATCATTCACAAAAATCTCTTTAGTGGAAACAGATTCATAAGTATTATGTAATTTATTTAAGGTTGAACAATACCGATACTCACATCTCCTTAATGATTATAATTTTCTTCTTGATGATGTTGGATTGGAGGCTATAACTCATATATATCAGGAAGGCAACTATGTGGCTGACGCTCTAGCAAAATAAAGACGATCCATGCAACTATTAACAACGGAGGGAGACAATACAATATTCTGGAAAACTCCTCGGGGCTTTGTTTTAAATGCTTTCAATAAAGATAGATTGGGGAGAATCGCTATGTGATCTACCCCTATGTTATGTAATAACTGAACTTCTTATGCTTTTAATTATAAATTACTCCTTTCATTAGAAAAAAAAAGTAAGGAAGGTGAAAGACCACGCCAGCTCTACAACTTTTAGTGTCATATTTTCCAAAATCAAGCTGTGTATCGTTCGATTTGCAACCCCTACTACATCCGACTTTATGATATTTACTATATTTCAGACGTTTTGAATATATTCCCTTCCCGAAATGGGAGTAGGGAGAAAGGAAAGTGCACTCCATCAATTAAAATGCCGTGTCATAAGACCAAAAGCATACCACTTTCTTGTTCAAGAATTTCTTAAGATTAAGGTTCGAAAGGACGAGACGACAATAATGAAGTATGAGTCTAAAACACTATATGTAGAGTTGCCTTGACTGGCAATTTTGGACGTACGAATGGAATCGCAAGGTGTATATAAGGAGTATAGCTTCCTTAGCAAGGAATTTCAAGTATCTAACCTACTAGAAAGACAAATCCCTAGCAGATCTTGTCCATTAAGAACGTAGGCCTAATTTTCTCTGTTCGTCTTTACTCTTGTTGGTTGAAAAATTAGAAGGGTTTGAAAATGGCAATGCAATTGACCAATGAGGCTTAAAGATTTATTAGACCATTCACTTTTTGTCAAACCCTTCAACTTTCGTAAATACTTTATTAAGTCTTGCATGGGTCAAGTCATGCGGCTCAGCCCTTGGCCCTTCCTCTTGACTTTAGTTTTCTCTCACTGGTACTATTTTCGGTCCACTTTTACTGATTTTTTAATCTTTTTTTATGATCTATAATATTTGATTTTTTAGATTTCAAAAAAAAATTAATTTCTTTTTTTCAAAGTTTCCTTTGGAGTAAAGAGTCTAAGAATAGTTTGTTATATTTCCAATGAGCAAATTAAGGTTAATATGATTAATTTCATTGTTAATTAATGTTAAAAGGTGAATTCCTTAATATGTGTGAAAAGTACCAAAAATCTCGAGAATAATATTTATCCAATATATGAATTAAGTGTAAGTAACATCTTCGAGAAAAGTCAAAAAAGGTCATTGATTGTCCCAAATATTTCATGCAAAGATTTGCTATAGCAACAAATCACTTTACTTTGATTAGACCTACTTTAGTTATTGATTTCTACTTCAAGTTGTCTACACATGGTTACTTCCTTGTAACTTTCTAATTTGTTGGTTATTATTGCACAATGATTGTTGTATTTCCTATGTTATTGTTTTAATTTTGGCATAGCTATTACTCTAACGAGTGCGTTACTGGTTACAGGGAGCAGTGGCAAGCCACATTGGTCTAAAGATGATCAATATTGAAGTGTGTGATCAATTTATCTAAAAAGCTTAAATTATTAAAAAGAGTAATATTTAATTATTTAATTATATTATGCCTCAACACGCTCTCTCACGTTAGTGGCGAAACTAGAAATTTCTCCAACAATATTTCAACTTGAAAGAAGTAAAAAGAATTCCCCGACAAATTAAGGGTGTTCGATATATATGTTATATACCTCAAAATCCTAATATTTTACTTATATATACAGTGTAATTTTCCGACGAATGATGATCAATTGACCAGCCTTACAAGAGTGTAGCTTCGCCCCTACCTCAAGTATGAGCTTGGTTCTTTTTTATGAGAAGGTAGGTTATTAATGAGAATCAAATAGTGCTGGGGAATCAACTGTAGTTGGAAAAATTCACCTAATTAATTAATTAAATTTTTTAAACTTAAATAAAATACTTTTATCCCACGCCTCAGACATTTATTTTCATAAAATGAAAGAGAAAAAAGAAAAGAATAAAGACAAAGTCAAGAAACTCCTAAAAATATTTTTAAATTCAACATAAAAAGTACGAGTCTCTCTGACGATTGAAAGCAAAGTCAAAGATGATACTCCGTAAAACCTAGTATATATTTGCCAAATATGTGCTTCTGTCGTATTACTAAAAATGTGCAGTATATCAGAAGTTTAAGAATCAATAATTCTTATCAAGAAGTTGGCGAGTATACTAGAATATTCTTAGAATTAATGAGTTTCATAATCAACAAAGAGGTCTCCATACGGCATCTGATTGAAGGTCCACAAGAAATGTTCTAGTTACATCGATCCCTATACTTTTTTTCACGTTAATTAGGCAATATTTTGGATCATATTTGCAATCCTGAATCACGTATAATCACATAGAATATTGGTTGCTAAAGATATATATGTACACCACACAGACAAGAACATATTACAATGACTATCTATTTTTTAAATAATTAACTGACACCTAAGGGCATATGCAATTCAGGATTTGATTAATCTTACGGGCTGGAATTTGGGATTTCACTATAATTCATTTAATTTATTGAGTTCAAAATAAGATATTTGTACTTGACTAATAAAAGTTAGAACCAAAACTAATCAGTTCGGATGAATCCATAAAATAATGCCCTACATCCACCATGCTTAAGGGAGAAAAAAGGGCAAAGGAAACAAGAAGGAAATAATGTGTTACGACCCTCCTCAGCTTAAATTTATGTCAATATTTGTGACTAGAAATAGTTTGGAGTTCGAGATCAGGATCTGTTTCATGTCTTTGGAATTCTTTAAGAGATTATGGACCCTTTGAGGGTACAATGTGGCGGTTTAGAGTTTAGACGAAGTAAACTTTGAATAATTAGTCAATCATGTAGTAATAGTTGTTGTGTACTTATGACATAAGAGCAACAGAAATACATGTTGTTCTAGAAGCATCAAAGACTGTATGTCTAACTTAATTTAGATAGCTTGACATCTTAGATAAATCTCATATCGACGATTCACAGATATTATGTAATTTATTTAAGATTGAACAACCGCGATTCTCACATCTCCTTAATGATTGCAGTTTTCTTCTTGATGCTATTAGATCGGAGTCTATAAACCGCATTTACAGGGAAGGCAACTATGTGGCTGACGCTCTAGCAAAGTATGGACGCACCATGCAATCAACAACGATGGAGGAAGACAACATAATCTACTGGGAAATTTCACCGGCCTTTATTTTACATGCTTTCAATAAAGACAGATTTGGGACAATCGCTATTCGATATATCCTTATGTTATGTATTAACAATAACTAGAATTTTTTAGTGCTTTAATATAAATTATTCCTTTCCTTAGCAAAAAAAAAAATCTCATATCGACAAAACACGGGAGATATGCTGGGTATATAAGTAAGTAGGCCTTAGACCCTAGTGATTAAAGACGGAGCTAGCTCATTAGGTACAAGTTCGGTCGAACCCAGTCACTTTTGCTTAAACGTTGTATTTATAATAGAAAATTTATTAAATATATATAAATATTTAATTACAAACCCAATGACTTAGACGAGTTAGGTTCCGTAATAATTTCAGAACTCATAAAATTAAAATTTTGGCTCCGCCTCTGTTAGTGACGCATTTTAAAATCGTACGAGCCTAAACCCAAAGCTGAAAATATCATTAGTCTATCTATTATGATTGACTATCCCAATCTATTAAATAGGCTGTTCGCTTATAGAACCACCTCTTATCTCAACTTGGCTTCTTAATATATACTAATAATTTACTCCTTCTTCTTATATAATTCATATAAGCTTTACTTGCATACGTGTACTGTCGTCGACCATCATCAAACCACATCACAAAAAGTTGACTATTTCCCACCAGCCTTTTTCTCTGTGGACAAGTTCAACTCTTTCTAACAATACGAAACCGGCATTATTAAAAGCCTACATACAAATGCTATACATATTATATGCAAGTAGTGGATTATTAAATTTGCATGGAAAATAAAATTTATGATTGTTTATTGCTTTTGTCTCGTATTATTATCAACTTTATCACTCCATCGACTTGCTCCCTTTAAATATTATTGTCACCTTCTTATATTTTCTAGTATTTGCCTTAAACAAGTGTGCTTTTCCCCTCATTTTCACCACCTCTTCCTCCTCATCTACCATTGCCTGTAACTTCTTAACTTCTTCTCAATAATTGACTCTTCATTTCCAAATGGATCCACCGGAACACCCCGCCGGAAAGTCGCCGAAAAGAGAGCTCCAAGGCCCCCGGCCAACACCTCTTAAAGTACGTAAAGATTCACATAAGATAAGAAAACCGCCGGTGGTGCCACATCAGCAACACCACCAGCTACCACCTCAAGCTCCGCCACGACCGCCAGTTATAATATACACCGTGTCCCCTAAGGTAATCCATGCAAACCCTAGTGAGTTCATGACATTAGTCCAAAGACTCACTGGACCTGGACCAGATTCCTCGTCCTCATTTTCCTCCTCGTCCTCTTCATTCCCTTTTCAACAAAATATGAATATCGGTGCGATATCTCCAGCAGCTAGGTTTGCTTCGATAGAGAAAACAAGAACCCTAGAAGGGAAAAAACCACAAATTTGTGACATTGAAATGGTTGAAGGGATAGAGACAAATAGAGAAGTCGAAAGAAGTAGTGGACTTTTTCCAGGTATTTTATCTCCAAATCCAGCTTCTCTTCCACCTATACCATCAAATTTCTTCTCACCACTATCTGATCCAAATCCTCTTGGATTTTTCAATGATTTAAGTCCTGTATTACACAGTAACAGGAATTATTTTGGACATAGTTACTTGTCTAGCCCTTCAAATTTTATTTCACCTAGAATAATTCTGTCTCCAGGTACTCCATCTTTAGACCTTTTCAGTAACCTCTTTGATATTTAACAATATATTGAGAAAGAAACACAAATATGGAGACTTCTGCTCGAATGTCACATTTCAAGTCTATGGAGTTCCAATTATTGTAAAGGGTGACATTCACTGGGAAGACTTCTCATTGGTAGGAAGTTCTTTATCTTTTTTTTCCTCACGAAAATTGAGGAGAAGCACTCTTGGGTCATATATAGAATTTCTATTTCTCCTTTGTGATACACGTAACACATATTAGTGTCTTTGATACCAACATTGTTTTTGGTAATATACTTTTTGGCTTGTAATTTCTCAACACAACATCCGTAATCTATTAAATTCACCTCCTTGTTTCCTTGCGATTATATCGGAATATATTGTAGGGTGCTTTTCAAAATTGAAATAAAGTAAAAAATGAAGACAAAGTCTTTGGCAGTTTGGATTATCGATATGACAAATTAAATTTATTTCTTTTTGAGATTTTGACTTAAGCTTAAAATAAATAAATAAAAGAATCAAAAAGCGAAAAGTTTGTTGGCCAGCTTAGCTAAAAAAATGATGTTTGATATTTGTGGGCTGGCAAAAGATAGATTCATCTACTTCGCTTTTTAGTCGAATTCCTAGGAAACATATTGTATACAATAATAACGCAAGTACGCAGCTTTGAAGAGACTTCTATTTGACATAATAATTATTTACTGAGTCAAACGTGTAAAACTGAAACAAAAACATCGTTTTATGGGATACATGTAATGGCTTTGTTAAGCAGTATGCATTAAATTCGATTTATAAATAGATTAGTTTTATTTCAGAATTTGTTTTCACTTATATGTTCTATCTTTGGTATGAAATGATAAGCAACAGTAACTTTTCTCAATTATCCCGCGAGGGTTATGTGGGCTATGTAGATCCGGCCCATTTTTCTACAAAGATCCACTCAACTTGCCAAGTTTTTTAGCCCATGTAAACATGAAGCCCAAGCTAATTCTAGTCCAAAAGATTGAACAGCTTTAGATTAATTGCAGACCAGCAAATATTATCCGAAATAGTTCCATATTAAACATTTTTATTCAGCTGTATCACTACTAGAAATCCGGTAAAAACCGACCAAAAAAACCGACCAACGTTGGTCGGTAATGGCAAAAAACCGATCAAAACGCGATCATTTACGTGTGGACGGTATTTTTGTGGTCGGAAAGGCATACCGACCAACTTTGGCCGGTCAATTAAATTCAAAAAAAAAAAAT